AAGACTTGTCCAGAACTATTCCGAGGAATCTGTGCGTGTTCACATATGATATGGGATGACCATCAACTTTCAGACAGTACCTATGAGTACTCTTTCTGGTAAAAGCCATAGCAGCTGACTTTGATGGAAATAGAGATAGTCCACGCTGTTGTAAGTAACTGGATATGATCTCAAGGGATTTCTGTAAGCGGATTCGATTAAATCGCTGCGTAATTGATGACGTCCATTTGCAGATGTCGTCCGCGTAAAGTGTAATGTTGACGTCCCGGGGACGTTTGTTTACTAGTGCCAGGAGGGTAATATTGAACAGTGTAGGACTGAGAACTCCGCCTTCCGGCACGCCTCGAAATACTGTATGCTCAGTTGTTTTCCTGTCTGTTGTCTGCATGTGAACTGTTCGACTATCTAAGTAGCTTAATATCTACACGTAGAGACGTCCTTCTATTCTTGCATAGCTTAGGGCGTCACGGATAGCCTTGTGACTTGAGTCAAACGCGCTTTTATATCTAGAAATACAGCGGTAGTGATTCGCCGACACTTCCTTTGTTCTTGAATGCTAGTTGTGAAATCAATGACGTTGTCCAGGGAATTCCTCCCTCGTCTGAAGCCTGCCATACACTCAGGGTATATCTCAGATTGTGCAATGTACCATTCTATTCGAGTGTGAATCATTTTTCCATCACTTTGCCCACACAAGATGACAACGCGATTGGACGGAAAGATAATATGTCCAGAGGTGATTTACCTTGCTTAAGGATAGGTATGATGCGCGATGTTTTCCCCTCTCGGGGTACCTGGCTTGTTTCCCATGACATGTTGTAAAGTTTTAAGAGCCCTGTCTACCCTAGTTACCAAGATGAGCTAATGCTGAGTAAGTTATACCATCCGGTCCGGGAGAAGACGAGTAGTTCAATCCGGAATGTGCATCTTCCAGTTCACGAGCATCAAATAATATGTCATGTGGTTCCACGCTCGGATCTGACTATGAAGTTTAACAAGTGTTGCCACCGGATTCGCAACATTTTCTGAAAGTTTTTTTGCAGTAGGCTTCAGCCAAAACTAGTTCCGAAACATCTTGTTTGAGTGCAAGTGCCCGGAAAAGGTAACGTTGTTGAGGTGGTGTCCGCAAGCTCCGTGCTAGGTTGTATATCTGAGAAAGAGGCCTGCGTGGATCTAAAGTTACGCAGCGAGCCCTCCAACGGCGCCTAGCCAGTCTGTCTATGTAACGTTTTATACGTTTTTGTTGGCGTCTCGTTTTGCTCAGATCTTCAGGGTCGTGTGTTTTTCTAGCCTTTCGCTCGCATCTTCTTCGAAGCGCGCGAAGTCGTTCATATTCTGCATCGATGAGAGGGTAGGTTTGAGGCAAGTTATATGTTTTCGTGGATTGCTTCACAACCTCTTGAATACCATTAAAAACGTCTTCGTTGCTGTCAAATGAATCACACGCGTTTTCAAAGTTAATTTTAAAGAAAGACCAATCGGTGCGCCTAATTGGAGAAGATTCTTTATTTGACCCAAATCCCTTGAGCAGAGTGTAGGTTGGAACATGGTCACTCCCATGGCATTCGATGTCTCTGAACCACGTAATTAAATTCAAAAGACCTGCGCTAGCAAATGTCAGATACAGCCAGCTACTCCTCGTAGTTCCACGGAAAAAAGTAGGACTTCCATCGTTCAGCGAAAAGAAGCCATGCTGATGGGTAAGTGTCGCAAGTGAGGTTCCCCGTATGACACTTCCCATAAGGGGTGATGGGCGTTAAAGTCCCCCGTTAGGATGTGAGGAGAAGGAGTGTTTTCAATAATAGAGTTAATACGTTGGGTGTTAAACTGAGTATTTGGCGGAATATATGCCGCGATTATGGTGAATATACGGTGATCGTTTTTGACAGTCAACGCTACGTACTCGTTGTTAGCGTCAGGTGGAAGGGCGTGAGAAATATAGGTAAGGTCATTCCGAACCGCGACTAGTACTCGGCTTGTAGCTGCACCTCGCGTCGACTGAAAAACCTCGTAACCGGATAGACGAAAATCACTAGCAATGTTTGATTCCGACAAGGCTATGACAGGAAATCGGTACATATGGCAAAATTCTCGAAAGTCAGATAGTCGACTGCGGAGGCCCCTTGCATTCCATTGGAAAATGGTCGCTTGTGACCGAATTTGCTCTACTGATAACATATATAGGCTAGGAGAGAGGGCTTGGACAGAGCATAAAGTCAGCCAAAACCAAAATTGTAAGCGCAATACTTTCAGGCGCCGTGCCTTCCATACCTTGTAAAATAGATCTTTGCGGTTTTAAAAATAAATAAATAAATAGGCTGTGGTAGTACATGTATGGTAAAAATCGGTAGCTGCCTTGAAGCAAAAATGTCTCCTTGAAAGCCAGAGTGTTAGCTTGTGAATCAAGAGTACGGCGACAACATTCGTAAATAAATTGAAAAAAAAAAGTTTACGAAATTTTTGTTTATTTTCCTGTAGTCGGGGTTCCCTGAGGTCTGTTTTTCTAGCGATTGAAGCATAACATGACCGGTGTTCGTTTCTTCGGGTGAGGCGAGAGTGGTAAAACTTCAGAGTACCATTACAATAAAGGACTCTAACGAAAGGATCGCTTCAATCGCGTGATGGAACGTTGATGCCGGTGGAATCGTTTTCAATATTTTACGAAGTGCGATGAATACCAGCGGTATTATGGTTTTGAAAAACGATGTAGTACCTGTTTTCCCTGCCTGGTTTGGTGCCGAGGTACGCGAATCGGAAGGCGCGTGTGAACAGTCTTGGGTAAGTTACTTTTAAAAAGTAATTCGTTACAGTTACAGTTACTTTCCGAAAAATGTAGCGAAGTTACCGTTACAGTTACTGCAACAAAAGAGTAACTCGTTACTGTTACAGTTACTTTTAAAAAGTAACGACGTTACTTTTCAGTTACTTTTCTATAACACAAAAATTGGAAAAATTAGAAAACGCCCCTCACCTAGTTTTATTGCATAAAGTTAAACACTACGCTTTTTACTTCATATTGTAACTTAGGAGAAGTTGCTTCTCGAAATTAGTGTTTGAAAATTTCCACGCCAGAGTAGTGGCGCAAATCAAAATACAAAACATGCGAAGTGTGGAGTACTGACGCTAATCAAAATACGAAACATGCGCAGTGCCCTCCGCGTGTATTGTTGTTTCACGGTTGATTCACCCGATTATAAAGCGTTTCCACAGAAAAAAGAAAAACCACAAAATAGATAGTGCTTCAGGACACTAAGATGTAAGTGTTTAGTCACAAAGTACAAGCGCGTGGGTAAAGATAACTCGATTTTTTTCATGATATCCACACGTGGCTATATTTAGGGTCGTGACTCGTGAGAAAGTACGTATTCACAAGTTTGTGCAAGGCCAACTTGACACTCGAAATGTCGGAATAGACGATTTGGAAAGTGCAAGGAAAATCTTGATTGTACCCCTTCGATTAGTGATATATTATTCATAAAACACTGAGAAGTAACGACAAAAGTAACGTCGTTACTTTCATCGTTACCTCAGAAAAAAGTAATAGAACTACAGTTACAAGTTACATTTTAAAAAAGTAACTCGTTACAGTTATAAGTTACCAAAAAAGTAACGAAATTACAGTAACGCGTTACTAGTAACGCGTTACTACCCAAGACTGCGTGTGAAGTGATGTCTTTGATGATTTGTTTTTCCCAAAAAGATGGTTTTCGTGCTTCTCTGAGTGCGACTGTTGTAGTAGTCGCTACAGCTCCAGGATCGTCGCTTTTGTTCTCCAGGTTCTTAAGAGGAGGGTACTCCTGAGCATTTAGTGACGGCACACTACTGGTGGTGATTCTGGACGCTGGTTGGCCACCTTCAGCCGTTTCCTTGTTTGCCTGACGTTTAGCGTGCACGGCATATTTTGCCTCGCGAAAAGTGGTGTTGTGTTCTAGCCGATACCTTGTAACTTCAGTCTCTCGTACCTTGACTGGGCACTCGGCTGAGTTAGAGGCGTGCTGTCCTTGACAGTTCACGCAGTTGGGATTGGCTTCACACGTGCCTTCGTTACGCAGTCCACATCGATAACGCAATTGAAACTCTGCTGTGCAATATGGCCGAACTTGTAACATCTATAGCACTGCAAGGGACGTGCTCGGTAGGGGATCACCTCAGTTCTTACAAGCCCCACTTTGACGTGTTGAGGAGCTACTTTCCCTGTGAAGGCGACTCGCACTACGGGTGACGTCTTCCCAAGTCGCTTCACCTCTGCCACTCCAACGGAGGACCGCAGATGTGTTTTAATGTCGTCTTCTGTGCAGTCAGGGTCAATGTCTCGCAGAATGCCAAAACAGTTTGAGCGATCTCTCGGCAGAAAGGCTCTGACCGGTACTGTGCATAGCTTGGACAGCTTGAGAAGCTTCGCTTTAAAGAGAGGTCGCTTCACATCAACTGCGACAATGTTCCGAGCTTTGTTAATCCGGAGAACATTCACCATGCCTGGAGCAACGTTGTTCAGGTAGTCTGTAAGCTTGAGTTTGCTGAGCGACTCGACCTTATGGTTCTCAGTCGGGGTGAACAAAACGGTGCATCCAACTTGTAGGTTGCCTTCATCCTTGAGAGATGAAGCATGACACCGTGGGTCCGTCTTACGCCTCTTCTTTCCTTGAGCAGTCTCGAATTCATCGTCGTCGGGCAGCATGTCGTCGTCATTGCAGGCAGACACGATTGTAGAGGAAGTGCAAGTCATTGCATCTGTAGCCGGTTCCTTGGGCGGAATTTGACAGCAGCCTTTGAAGGACGTCCCCGAATCTGCTATGTCTTGCAGGACGGCGAGCATCAGTTGGTCTGTTGATTCAGGGTTCATTTTTGCAGGAAGCTTGGCCTCCCTGAAGGGGGCCCTTCGCGAAGAGAGGTCCGATACTTCTCTGCTGTCACGTAATCGGTGGATACGAAGTGCCGGCCCGCTATTTAGCAAATATTTGGCTATATCTCAGGGGACACAAATAAAATTACCAGAAGCAATGTCGTTGTCGTCCCCGAACAGCACATGGGCTGCACATCCTCACTGCGCACAAAGATCTCTGGAGAGTCAGAGCGACAAAGTGAGTAGCAAACATGGTAGAAGAACGTTTTTTTTTGTTGGTTTCTTTACTAAACTGTCATTATGCAACATATGCACAGTTTTTATCAGCATCGCCTTGTCAGGCATATATTGCCTTTAGCCATGCCCCTCAAGAGAATGTTGTTTTGAATAAATTGTTTTTGTTGTATGTATGTATGTATGTATGCATGTATATATGTGTGTATGTATGTATGTATGTATGTATGCATGCATGCATGCATGCATGCATATATCGCCGCGCCCAGGGCTGAGAAAGAAACGCTCGGTCACGGACCTCCAGAAAGTTCTCGTTTATTCATGTACCGCACGTAACTTCTATCATTTATTCCTGCTTTTGTTTTCTAGAAAGTGCATGTTCATTCTCGCCCGATCACGCGACGCTCGAGCCGCTTTCGCCGAATCTTCGAGATAGCGACGCACTCTAGATAAAAGGCCGCCTGCGACCTTTTCAAGTCAGTCTCGCCCCAGCGTTCGACCCTGCTGCCACGCCGACTTCGACGCCCGCGACGCTTTATTATTATCTTTTGTACTCTTTTATTTTTGGCACAAGTTCGCCACATTAAACGTTGATTCCTTCCTGCTTATTTATTGTTTTTTTTTTTGTCACCACCCGTGACATTTTGGTGGATGTGCGGGGTAATCGCATGTCCGTACAGCGCAGCCCGCCAACTTCCCGCAGTACAAGTCCAAACCCAAGCTCCGGAGGACCCGACGAAGACTAGATCGAGAACCGGTCAAGTCGCCGCATCCGAGGTCTACCCCCGGAACACGGACTTCTGCCACCCACGACTAAGCCGAAGACGAGGATGGCCGACCAGGCGCAGACCCCGGCCGCTTCTGCCGTCGTGTACCTGCCGGTCGCACCCAGGACTCCAACGCCGTTCCACGGAGACGTCCACGAGGACATTGAAGACTGGCTGCAACACTATGAACGTGTAGCCCGCCACAACGGATGGACGACTGAGCGATGCCTCCACAATCTCTACTTCGCACTCGAAGGGACAGCGAGGCATTGGTTTGAAAACCACGAAGCGTCCTTCACTACGTGGGAGTCCTGCGCCGCCGAGTTGAAGCGAACGTTCCTCAACCACCACCGTCGGCAGCGAGCAGAGGACCTTCTTCAAACCAGGGTGCAGGGCCCCAACGAAACCGTGACAAGCTTCGTAGAAAATGTCATGCGCCTATGCGCCCGAGCCGATCCGGAGGCAGCCGAAGAGAAGAAGCTTCGCGTCCTTATGCGTGGCGTGAAGGCTGAAATTTTTGGGGGCCTTGTCCGCCATCCCCCGACAACCGTCGACGGTTTTGTGGCTGAAGCCACTAACATCGAGCGAGCGCTGTCGGCCCGAGCAAGCCATTATCATCGACTCGCCGGCGTGCCTGCTCCTCGAACCGCCGCATTTTGCCGACTAGACCTGAACGCCACCGGTGTCGACGGCCTTCGGGAAATCGTCCGCGACATCGTCCGGGAGGAGCTCCGGAAGCTGCTGCCTGCTGCCAACCAGCCGGCTGAGCTGTCGATCGCCGAAGTGGTGCGCGAAGAAGTCCAGCGGGCAATTCAACCGGAGGCTCCTGCCTGCGTAGCACCACCCGAAGAGTCCGCCCTGACCTACGCCGCAGTGGCCCGACGGCCACCGCTTCCTCCTCCAGCCTATGTTGCGCCGCACCGACGTCGTTCTCCTGCACCGCAGCACGACCACCGCCGCGACGACCAGGTGCAGTACGCCGCCCAAGAGCCCCGCACACCTCGGAAGACCGACGTGTGGCGAACGCCCGACCGACGCCCACTGTGTTTCCACTGCGGAGAAGCAAACCACACCTACCGCCAATGCCCATACCGACGACTCGGGCTGCGGGGGTTCCACCCGAACGACCCACGCCCCCGTAATGGTGAACGCCCTACGGAGATCGACGAGTACCTGCGACGACCTCAGTCGCCCGAGCTTGCGTCCCGCCGAGAGTTCCGGTCGCCTTCGCCCCGACGTCCAGCTTTGCCCATGCACCGACCCCGACGTGAAAGCCTGTCGCCCCTCGCTCCTCGCCGGGGAAACTAGGCGCGGCAACCCCTGGAGGTGGAGTTGCCGAAGACGACCGACGTAAAGAGCCTCCAAGAACGACGGAGCGCTCCCACTCTCGCGACGCTACGCATCACAACGACGCTCCTGCTTCGGTGTCCAACAACCTAAACGTTGTTATCGACGGCCTCGACTCATCGGCACTCGTGGACACCGGAGCAGACTACTCAGTCTTGAGTAGGAGGCTCTCTCGCCGCCTTCGAAAAGTCATGACGCCGTGGGGTGGACCACAAATAAGAACCGCCGGAGGACACCTGATTACACCAGTCGGGAGATGCACCGCTCGCGTCGAGATTCACGGCGAAGCATGCGCTGTGAAGTTCGTCGTTCTGCAAGACTGTTCGAGGGACGTCATTCTCGGAATGGACTTCCTGCGTGAATACGGCGCCATCATCGACCTTGCGAAGAACAAGCTGACGCTTCGGAAGCCTGTCCCATCGGTAGAAAATACCAAACCGACGTTAGCTGCAGTGCGAGTCCTCGCCAGCCACGTAAACCTGCCGCCGCTGTCCAGTGTCTTCGTGCCCATCGGGACCGAAGGAGCCACCTGCGGTGTAGCACTGCTGGAAGGAAGCGTCCAACTTCTCCTCGGACGAGGGATTGGCATTGCAAGAGGCGTAACAGAGCTCCAGGACGGGCGCACCGTAGCCCTTGTCACCAACTTCCGGCAAGAGTCGCAGCACCTTACAAAGGGTACAGCTGTGGGCTACGTCGAGGAAATTGAAGACTCAGCCGCGATCGCCGTGATCTCAGAAGACGCCTCTCCGACGCAGAACAAGACAATCACGTCCTCAGAGCTCGACATCAACCCATCCCTCCCAGCCCCACAACGACGACAACTTTGTGACCTTCTCGCCGAGTTCAGTGGGTGCTTCTCCGCGTCGTCGAAAGTGCGCCAAACGACGGTTGCGAAACATCGGATAATTACTGATGACGACGCACTCCCTGTGCATCGGCCGCCGTACAGGGTCTCCGTGAAAGAAAGGGAAGCCATCCAGCAGCAGGTACAAGAAATGCACGACGACATTGTCCAGCCCTCAAGCAGTCCGTGGGCTTCACCGGTAGTTCTGGTGAAAAAGAAAGACGGGACTCTTCGGTTCTGCGTAGACTATCGCCGACTGAACGCCGTAACAAAAAAGGACGTCTACCCGCTGCCACGCATCGACGACACCCTGAACCGGCTACGCCACGCCCGATACTTTTCGTCGATGGACTTGAAGAGCGGGTACTGGCAGATTGAGGTCGACGAACGAGATCGTGAAAAGACGGCCTTCGTCATGCCGGACGGACTGTATGAGTTTAAAGTAATGCCGTTCGGGCTGTGCACAGCGCCGGCAACCTTCCAGCGCGTTATGGACACCGTCCTTGCCGGCTTGAAATGGCAAAGCTGTCTCGTCTACCTCGACGATGTTGTGGTCTTCGCAAGCGAATTCGACGAGCACCTGAGACGACTGCGAGCCGTGCTACAGGCCTTCAAAGCTGCTGGGCTGACCCTCAAGCCTTCCAAGTGTCGGTTCGCCTATGGTGAGCTGAAATTCTTGGGCCACGTCGTGAGTGCTCAGGGTGTAAGCCCTGATCCCGCCAAGACGTACGCTGTCTCCGAGTTCCCGAAGCCATCAGACAAGAAGACCGTTCGAAGATTCCTTGGGCTGTGCGTCTACTACAGACGTTTCGTTCGTGACTTTGCGCAAATTTCTTCACCGCTGACGCATCTGACGAAAGACGACGTGCAGTTCCAGTGGGGAGAGGAGCAAGAGCAAGCGTTCGACGAACTCAAGCGAAGGCTCCAGTCGCCCCCTATCCTCGGACATTTTGACCAGTCGGCGGAGACTGAAATCCACACGGACACCAGCAATACCGGTCTCGGTGCGGTACTCGTTCAGCGACAAGAAGGGGCAGAGAGAGTAATCGCTTACGCAAGCCGGGCGCTGTCTAAGGCAGAACAAAATTATTCAACGACCGACAAAGAATGTCTTGCTGTCGTCTGGGCGATAACCAAGTTTCGCCCATACTTGTACGGGATCCCGTTTCGCGTGGTCACAGACCACCACGCCCTCTGCTGGCTCGCAAACCTCAAGGATCCGTCCGGACGCCTCGCCCGCTGGAGCCTTCGACTGCAGGAATTCGACGTAACCATTGTGCATAAGTCTGGCCGCAAGTATAATGACGCTGACTGTTTGTCTAGGGCTCCAGTCGAACCTCCAATCTCCGGCGCGGACGACGATGACGACGCCCGTTTTCTAGGCGCAGTTAACGCTACCGACATGAGGGCACTGCAACGCGACGACGCGGAACTTAGCTCCGTGATCGACAGCCTCGAAGGTCGAGGAGGCTCTGTCCCACGGGTCTTTTCTCGGGACCTACCGAGCTTTGTCCTGCGGCGAGGCGTGCTCTTCAGAAAGAATTTCGGAACCAGCGAAACCCCCTGGCTACTGGTTGTCCCCGCCAGCCTCCGAGAAGAAATTTTTCAAGCGTGCCACGACGACCCAACGGCCGGACATCTCGGCTACAGCAGGACCCTTGCCCGGATTCATGACAAGTACTACTGGCCAAAGCTTCCGAAGACCGTCCATCTCTACACACGATCGTGCCATGAGTGCCAGCGACGCAAGAAACCACCGTCAAAGCCAGCAGGTCTCCTTCAGCCGATTACTCCGCCAACCAAGCCCTTCCAGCAAATTGGAATGGATTTGCTGTGTCCTTTTCCGCCGTCGACGATGGGGAACCGCTGGATAATCGTCGCCACCGATTATCTTACTCGTTACGCCGAGACGAAAGCCCTTCCTTCGGGGACTGCTGTCGAAGTCGCCAAGTTCTTCATCGAGTCCATCGTCCTCCGCCATGGCGCCCCCGAAGTACTGATCACAGACCGAGGGTCATCGTTTATGGCACAGTTGACCCAAGAGAT